TTATGGCCTGTGGCGTGAATAATGGCCCGATGGCGCTAGCCGAGGGCCATTACACGCTGAAGGCCATAAACGCATTTCACGCACGAGATAAATACACAATTTTATGCACTAGTGGTTTATTTTCTGACTCATAAGTAATGACTATAGATTTCGATAAACTAATATTCCCCAGAATTTAATTTGTTACGTATTAATTCAGTAATCAAGAGGAGCGTAATGTTCATGGATATTTTACATATGAAAATTATCGTACGAATATTGCAATTATCGTAATAGTTAAACTCTTTCAGCTCTAGAAGAGATTCATCCTACAGAATTTTACAATATGCATAGCCAGTATATAAACCTATAAACCTAACTTATTTTGACGTTGTCAATCAATCTGATGGTTGTTGTCTATAGCAATACATTCAATAAACGAGCTGAATTGTCATTCTTTGATTGAAAAGTTAAATTAGTGATAATAATAATAGCGAGACTATGGAATCGGATGAAGAAGAAGATTATGATATACCGCTGGATATATCAGAATCTTGGAATATGATCATAGGTTTTTCATACATTGATATGTGGATATAAGGTGACTGAGAACAGCGGGCGGTAAAGTGTACTTTACGGCCCGTGGGCCATAATGAGCCCGGGGGCGGTAAAGTGCGACTTAACGCCCGCAAAACCGGGCAATAAAGTGCACTTTACGGTCCGCTAGTGCATAAAAATATGAATATTATTTCAATATACGTATAGTGAGGACAGATATCAGATGATTCGCCTCAAAATGTCACTGCATTTGAAGAATTTTCCTATCAGAGAGCCTAAAAGAAAAATTCACTAGATCGTCAGTGACAATCTGTATAGAAAAAGGTTTGGAGAAGAGAAGATACATAGAAAAAAATATAAAATTGTAACTTTGTACGTTACGGGAACGAATCTGCTCCCGTTTTCAACATAAAAAATGGATATTTGTGTAGCAAATTCGTATTCCTCTTGACACTTCTCAGTTCTCAGTGACAATTGGTGACGTTGGTAATCAAATGAATTACAGGATGTTTTCATTAATTAATCTCGAATTTACCGTTCTCATTTTCAAATTTCAGTAGTGAATACCATGAAAGGAGAAAAATAATTATGCATTGGCCCCCTGTAGCTCCGCCACTGATCGATATCGAACTCTCGTTTACAGGGTGTTTCCTAACTACGGTTTCTAACGGCAGGGGGTGATTTGTTAGGTAATTTTAAGAAGAAAAGTTCCTATTAACATATGTCCGGAGTTGCTTCGTTTCTGAGATACAGGGCGTTGAAATTGAAGAAAAAAACGGTGATTATAAAATATCATGAATATCCCGGAACCGATTTGGTTGAAATTTGGTACTTTTATTTGTCAAATTTCCTAAAATTTCAGCATATCAAGTGTCAATTATATTTTTGGCGGAAATAATGGAAAACTCATTTCTCCAATGCAGGTGTTCATAATATGCAATACAGTGAATTTAATTTTTTTCTCGAAAACGAAGCTGGATAGGAAGAAAATACAAGACACCAAAAAGTTGTATTTTGAGTTGCTCAATCTAAAAAAGGATGAAAATTCACCAAAACAAGTCAGTGGCGTACTTTTTTTCACAATATTGTTGGCTGTGGTGCCCACTGAGACGCCACTGGCCCCAATAATTTCAATCTAAATAGGGCTACATAAGGGCCTTATCAGTTCAAATAAAAGTACAAAATTTCAACCAAATTGGTTCTGGGATATCCATGATATTGTCACGAGTAGAACATACAGTATATTAGTGATTTGTAACCATGAGGGTTTTATAAACATAAAATTATTCAAATCATCAATTGACATTGAACTATGAAAACTGACCAAGGAACTCTCATGAGAAACGTGCAAATCTAATAAAATGATGTATATAAATATTGGATATGAGGGTTCCGAAGTTAGTCTGGTCTGGGGCTACTCTTGACTTGACAAGAGCTCGTCGTTATGGTCGTTATAATGTAAGTTGTTATTAGGTCTTGATTATTCATATTTGTTATCGCTACCCAAAATGTTTCATGCTTCAATACACATTGTTATCTTTGAATATAGTGTCGTACTTTCAGTTACCCCTAAACTATTAGTGCCTATTTGAATATTACCTCTCGCAAAATATTAAGCCAAGCATTACCCCTTATATATAGATATGGATGGACAGTAACCATCTTTCATATATCGTAACATGGATGGATTAACCATCTATTCATATCGTGTAAGACAGTTTTCATTATTTCAAGTATTGAATATAAAAATGTGTTTTTATATGGGGCATCTGGCCAGGATTTGCGAACGGTCCAGCATGCTAAAACTGGACTGCCTCGGTTTGATCTGCAAATGGGGCGTTCCTGGTAGTGCACACAGATAGGCATGCTAAAACCATCTGTACCCATACAAAAACTAAGCAAACAATATCACTTCATTTTTAACAACAAACAACCCTTTTATTGTGACATCGATATTAATAGATCAACCATCTTTTATCGTAACATGGTGGGAAAACAACTATTTTGTTGTGACAATATCTTATAATTACCGTTTTTTTCTTTAGTTTTAACGCCCTGTATCTCAGAAACGAAGCGACTCCGGACATATGTTTAGTAACTTTTCTTCCTAAAATGACCTAACGAATCACCTGCAGTTAGGAACCGTAATTAGAAAACACCCTGTATAATAACTTTTTTGATTAAAATTATGAGATCCATCACCCATTTCAGTTGGTACCTCAAAATCTGAATCAGCCAGTATATATAAAAGAATGTTTTGTCTGTATGTCAAACGGCTTGACCGATTTCACTAATTATTTTTTGTTGTGTTTGTATTGTCAGCAGAAGGTTCTTATGAGAGAAAGATGGCGGATCCAATATATTATGACGGACGAGTTTTGTAATTATAATCCTATTCTATTCAAAATTGGTATCTGAGGGTTTTTGGGGTCGGAGATTATGATTCTTTCCTCAAAATTTGACAATTCAAGATGGCGGATCCAATATGGTGAACGAGTTTCATAATGATAATCCCATTCTATACAAAATTGGTATCTGGAGGTTTTTGAGGTCAGAGATTATGATTCTTTCCTCAAAATTTTAAAATTCAAAAGAGCGAATCCAATATGGCGAACGAGTTCTGTAATTATGATCCGATTCTATTCAAAATTGGTATCTGGGGGTTTTCGGGTTCAGAGATTATGATTCTTTCGTCAAATTTTGGAAACTCAAGATGGCAGATCCATCGGCATACGAGTTTATTGATTATGATCCGATTTTACTTCGAATTGGTATCTGAGGGTTTCGGGGTCGGAGATTATGATTCCTCCGTCATAATAAGAAAATTCAATATGGCGGTTTCAATATGTCGAACGAGCTTTGTAATAAATAGTGTTGCAAAAAACTAATAAAACACGCTTTCATACAGATAGCCGAACTGAAAAGAAGTAGAAAATGAATAGTAGTTTAGAAAAATAAAGAGATAGAATACCGAACTGAAAAGATGTAGAAAATAAATAGTAGTTTCAAAAAGAAAGAAAATGAAATTATAAAAGTGTGTTGCTAAATATTCAATTGAAAAAATATTTAGCAAAACAACGTTTGCCGGGTCAGCGATATTCAATAAAATGACTCGAAATGACTTCAATATTTTGGTACTGTCTTTCCTTCAAATTTATTTTAGTAAGTAGCGTAGCAACCCGCGCAGGGTACAGCTAGTTGCTTACAAGAAGGAACTAGGTACTTCACTAAGATATTCGAAATATGAATTCGAAATGTCAGTGCCATATCAAATTCCCATGTAACTAGAAATTTGATAGCCATGAAGTGGCATACTTAATTTGTTTTCAATTTTCGAGATGAAATTTCTAGTTGTTTTGAAGACTTAGGAACAATCTAATAACTCGAGAGTTTTTGTTTGAACAAATCATATTACTGCGTTCAATGTAAATATGTATTTTGATGAATCATTTATCCATGAACACATATTTTTTGCAATCATCATTCTTGAAATTGTGCTTCTCTCTCCAGACAAATTATTGCGTCACAAAGGTTCAGTATGTCGTGGACAATTCACAATAATTGAAACTGGATGAAAATCAATTTGTTATGAACTTGTATAATGTGGAACTGCATTTGAAAGTTTTGATTGAGTCCGTTGGAAGTAAAAGAAAGTGGATGAGAATACCGAAGCCAGAGAAGCATGCTGAAGCTAATGGGGGAGACCACTGTTTTTTCAAAATGACATAATCGTGAACTCTATACTGAAAAACTTCCAGTGAATCAATTTTGAATGTTTTCATACATGCTAAGACGATGAAAAAAATGAATTAGAATATGTCCATTTCAAAACACACAATTCCTGCGCCATTTGAATGTTTGTCAATTCATTGGTGTGCCTGGTGCACCGTCTTAGTCCCAACACGCCTATTGCCCTTGAACTGACCAATCACACTGCAACACTGCAGAATGACGTGGTATCAGAGAGGGATAGCTACAGTTCGGGACTAATACGTCACGGCTCCACCATCATATTTGGCTTTTTGAATTATCGGATGAAATATGCTGATTTTGAAACGATATAGATTCAATTCCCTTCAACTTCAACTCATAATATTGATTGTACATCAAACGTAACTCATGATTCGTCGATTAAAAGAGGTTTGCACGGATTTCTTCTCTCAGTGGTCTTCCCCATTCATTTTACCACCCGGGGAGGGTTTGACCACCAGGGGAGGTGACTTTTTTGTCTTCGTAGAAGTCAATTAACAGTTTTGTTTTCTCGAATGAGGGAGCAAACGCCTTCTTTCGAATTTCAACGACCACTTTGATGTTACAATCATTTACTGGAACCCTGTCCAATATTTGATCAATTAGTGTAGAAGTTACCTTCCAATGACATTGGTTAACTATCATATGAAGACATCGATAATATAATTAACATTCCTAGACGATACAAAACGATAAAATTAAAAAATACCAACCTGAATTGTCCATGCTTTCACTTCGTCTGGACCTGCCGTGAAGAAGTATTCTAATTGCAGGGTTCTGTAACCTTGGACTATGATTTTGTCGAGGGCACTAGGATAAAACATAATCAAATTAATCACAAAAAAAAATTGTATTTGAGATACAGTGTCCAATTATTGATAGATAATTATCAGAGGAATTAAAATGTATATTTGAGACAAAGCAGTGCAGAATACTGCAGAAGTTACATTAGTTTATGAATGCAGGGACTAAAGGAGTACTTTTATTCCCGATGCATAACGTTTGTAGCCCAACCAGAGGAAGGACTTGAATTCGCTAAGAAATTGAAAATAACTTTTGTTCCCTATTTCATTCACACTAAAGAATAATGAAAGATAGAACTCTCTTATAGTTATTATTGGTGCATCAAGATGACCCAAACTTGAAATCAAAATTGCAAACATGATTCTCTACTCTCATATACTAGGTCGTATCAACTATTCGATACATTTTGGGGTTCTTGTTGCGTTGATTTCAATAAAATTTCAGCATTATATTATAGAAAATCGTTGAAACTACTATTTCGTCTTCCATTTGATACAAAAAACAATCATTGTTTATAACAACAAATATGTATCCTCACAATGAAATATATAGAACAGAAACCCTAAAAATTTCATAAGTAAATGAAAAATTGACGTCGCATATTTTTCTGATGAAATACCAGCCAATATCGAGAATAGCAGAAATATAGGCACAAATAAAGTGAAAAAAACTGATTATTTCTGCACGAACTGATAATAGTAGATTGTTTTATAAGGATCAAAAGTGACACTTTGTTTGACAAGCGTATTTTGCATTTGCGAGGCGGAGCGTTCAGCGAAGCCGAGCGAAAGCAAAATTTGCGAGTCGAACAAAGTCACTTTTGACCCAAATGAAACATGCTATTTTTTCTGCAACCGAATGCCATATGAATATGCAATGAAACAAATATTGACAAATAATCCGTGTGGTGAGAATGTTCTACCTGCATTAATAGCAGGTTTATTCAATTTTCAAGAATGTTGTAGTTTCAATAAAAATACAACCACAGAGTGACATATTTGTGTATGGACAAAGTGCTCTAATGGCAAATATCGCGCCAGTGCCAGCTATAGGAACAAGAAGTGGAAAATGTTAGGTTAGTGAGCATATCAACAATAATGATAGCGATTATTTATTCCTCTCCATACTACACTGTGTTTGATTTGATTATCGAATGAAGCTAAACAATATCGTTGTTTGAGACGAAAAAACTATTGCTTGCCGTGATTATTCAAAAACAAGTTATCCATCCCGAAAATAACGACTGAAATAATACAGATCAAGCAAGTATTTGAATCTTGAATTCTTTCATGATCAAAACAAAAATACTTAACTGAGATGTTTATAATTCCAATACTAAACTATAATAAGGTGTATTTATATCTCCAGCATGGGTATGAAATGCCAAATCTGCTGAAATCGGAAACAAATCAGGTATGCGTCTCAACCCAAATAACCAACCGTCACAATGTTGTTTATTCTTGATGACGTCCAGTAGATCCTTTTAGTTCCTAGGAGCTAAAGTTCAACTTTAGCTCCTAGGAAATAAAATTCAACTTTAGCTCCTAGGAACTAGATATGTTGCCTAGCAACATACCTATTTTTGTGTCAGTAATAGAAACGTCAATTTAAGAGCTAATTTTGGTATCAAAATGGACGACTTGTGTGTCGGTTGCAGAAAAGTAAATGTATTCAAAGAAAAACAGAAATACACCAAGTCCGTCGGCCACAAAAATTATATAACACAAAATGTAATGTGACTAGTTTTGGCTGAAACAGCCATCTCTGACAAAAACTTTACCTAACCTTACTCAATGATAATAGCATGATAGGTTGTTGACCTTGGAATGAATATGGCAATTTTTTGAAACTGTGTGTGCTCCTGAAGAAGCAAAATGAATAAAATATCTACCTACAAATTATCAAAGTTGAGAGCAAGATTTTCTGACAGTAGTATGTAGATTGAAATGTCAAACGATTAAAGGATAAATAGCTATGTCTACTCGAACTCTCTGTTATTAGTATTATAAGTTTCATTATTTTTCACTTACAATAATGGTGAGAGAGACTTTTTTTTGTGTCGAGCTGAACTTGACATCCTAATGAGGATATTATTGCCTAAAAATGTAATGAAAAAACTTGCCTCTGAAAAAATTACGAGTCCGAAGGAAGATAAAATTTTCTGGCAGATTTTTGAGTTAAATTCCCTGAAGGCAACTAAACTCGAATTGTAAATGCCAAGTTCACTTCGACCCAAAAGGAATGCTTGAGTGTAATTTGGTAAAAGAATTCAATGAATATGTAAATCAACTATTCTTGATGGTTTTTCCAGCTTCTCCACTTGAAGACTCTCCAAATCATGAGATTTCCACAGATGAGAAACTTTTTTGACAACGCAAGATTGAGAAAAACCTTCATAAACGCCATCAAGATTCGTTCACAATTCTGGTAGTCATTGTTTCAAATGTAAGGTTCCGCCGTATGGTCGATGGAAAAAAACTCGAATTATAAAATGTCAATTTCACTTCGACTCAAAAAATGCTTGAGTTTAATTCGGTAGGACAATTCAATGATGGGGTAAATCATCCTATTGTTGATGGATTTTTCAATTTCCCTACTCCAAATCGCGACATTTCCACAGATTATACTATCTGACAACGCAAGATTGCGAAAGATTGACATACACGTTATCAAAGATTTGTTCACAATTCTGCTATCATGGTTTCAGAAGCTATGTTCCGTTTTGTCATATGTGATACTATATCCAGGAAAAATAGCATCACGAGTTGTATTCGTATGCATATTTCCTGATTGAGACAATAAACGAGCGTCTCGCGAAAGTTGCCCACGCTACATCCATCATTCTGGCTTTGAACATGATTAACGTTTAGAATGTCAAAAATTATATCGCTGAAAAACGAGGTTGGTTGGTCACGTGTGGGTCGATTCGGCTTCTGTATTGGTAGAGCAAAGTCCGATAAAATTAACTGAAGAAATATCGCTGTAATACAAAATAAAACTGAAAATGGTCGAGATTCTGAGTGGTTCTCACGAACAAGAGTGGAATAATCGCTGGTAAATTTAGAGCAAACTTCTTTCGCTGTCATAATGACAAAATCACAGCGGCTAGTGAGATTTTTTATATATGAATTGGATTGTCAGAATGAGACTAGTATATTGTGCAACAAGTGGGGAAAGTTCAACTTTTCCCCACATGTTGCACACTATACTTTTTCTACAACTGCACTTATTCAAAGAATCCAGGTAATGTAACTTATTGGTATTCATTTCATAATGTAGCACTATGCCACATTGAATATTGTGACCAAAGAGTAGACGCCTTTCGTAGTTCCTCAAAGTATTTCAAAAATTTACACTTTCCGAAAAAGATTTTAATTCTGTATTTTTTTAAGATTCCATAAATTTTTCGTACATGCCAATTCATACTTTTTCCTTGAAATTTCCGGAAACAAATCCAATTTTCGCAGTTTTTTCCATTATCTCTGTCTCTGGCGGTGTATTTATCAAAAGCGTCACATCTCGTTTTATACATCATATTATTTATTATGAATTGTTTGAATAATATTTGATGGAAACTGCGATTCCTATCAAAAGCACTGAAGAGAACTGTCCTAGAGAATTTAAAAAACTTCTTCTGACAGTTGTGACAACTATTCAAAGCTGAACACCAGCCAATTAAGTTTTGGTCGATTTTTGTTGATTCTCCATGAAAATGCATGTGGTGTCGTGAGAAAAAATATTTCTCACAGTATGAGCAATACATGGTTTTGAAACTAAGTAAGCTATGAGAAATACGCAATTTTTCATAGCATAAAAAGGAATTTTTCAATTCCATCGAATGAGAGTCAAGGATCTGCATAGAAACGGTATGGAACGTTATTTTATCTACGCTATAATTTCGTTCGAAGTTCATGGAACAAAAATCCGTATGCGATTGAGCTTTCTTTTTCTCTATTTTCATCCAATTACCGGTAGTTGGGGTGTAATTGACCAGCAATAAACAAAACGGTAAGTGGAACAATTGCGTGACAATGATCATAACCCGCAAATCAAAACGAAAACGATAAAAGCTAATGAGATGTTTCGCGAAATTATGTTTCTACTGCTTTACCAGAACTTAGATTCTTCAAGTTATTTCATTTTGGATGATATTGGGGCTGTACACAGTTAGTCGAATTTATGGCGCACACCTATTTTATATCGATCGTTCCATGTTTGAAAGATAGTATTTGATGCGAATATTATTTATTTTAAATCACCACAAATACAGCAACTATTAAAATTTCTCCTTTAAATACTGACCGACCGATGAGGAAATGAAGTAGAATTAAAAATTCACCCTCAATTCACAAAAAAATCGGAGTTGTTTCGAAATATCACATAACTCTTCAGGATTCTGTTGAAAGGAATCATCTTTGTGATCATCCAGACGATTGAAATGCGATCAAAGAAAAATTAGAGTCTGTATAGAATTCTCGAAGTCATCCTGTATTGATAAGTGAATGACTCTCAAGTGGTTTCAATTCTAACGGAACAGTGTGAACAACCAACAAAATAAAAACCCATTTCAAATTTGGTACAAGTGAAGTGGCAAGGTCCTGTAAAATATCAATTCTTCTTCTTTTTTTTTTCGTTTTCAAGTAGATGGTGCGCGTATTCGGTCATTTTTACGTATGTAAGACAAATCACTCGACCGCCTACTATGATTTTTCTACGTCATCGAGCGAGCCGTTGATTCTATATTTTTCCGCTAGATGGTGATGCTGCTATTGCTTTTGTGACGAGAGAAACAAAAATGGCAAATGGCATTATAGGTACGCGAAACATATGTTACAGTGGGTTTATTCAACTCTGAATTCGTAAAATCTGCGGCAATTTGAAAATTGACAGATGTTATAATTTTGCAATGCCGCCATCTATCCGAAAACCGCTAAAAACATTGTTCTCGGGACTCTTGGGAGGTCGAGAAGAATTTCTGAAACAAAAGCGCATCAATGAGTACACCA